TCACAAGCCCCCCCCCCCCCCCCCCCCCTTTTTTTTCTTTTTTTTTTTTTTTTTTAGACGTTTGGTCGTGGAAAATAAGTCTGAATTCCTTGGATTTGTGCCAACAAGTTCAACGGGAGAAGCCTAACTGGGAAGGATTTTGGCCTAAATCTTCTTAAGTCCGGGGAATTTGAGAATAGGGGGCAAGTCGGTGTCCTCATTACTTGCAGTGGTTGTAATTTCTCCCCTCCGAGCTTCTCGGGGAATCGCAATAAAAGTCGAAGGAAAACCCTTCATCGAATTTGGGCATCATTGGCGAAAATTAATTTGAGACGAAACGGTCACGCTTTTGTTTCCCAACAAGCCCTCACGAGGTGTGGACAAAGGCGCAGTTTCCGCACGAGGTGTGGGCACTGCGCCTGCGCAAAAACCAGATTCGCGTCAAGTGGACCGTCTGCGCATGCGCCCTGCCAATAGCAGCGCCACCGCACCGGCGTGCTGGTGTATACATGCGAGTACGGGTATCGGTAACATTTCGGTATGCTGGTAACGTTTTGATGTGTGCGAATCGTGGGTCATAGAGGCTGACTAACGTGGAAGTTTGGGCTAGTTGGTATTTCATGATTAAAAATTAAAACAGCGCAAGGACACGGACAAGAACAAGAAGGTAGACGAGCAAGTAAAGCAGTAAAGTTTGTAAACCGGGTGGCACTTTGCAAGCGGCCATTACGAATTCTTCCGAGGCGAGATGCCCGGTAAGAAAGGAAGTCACGTATGGGCGCCGAGGGCTGGTTACGCTGGGGTCGAATCCGCCGAAATCGGCGGAGCGACTTTTCTCGGATCCGGATCGAGATCTGGAGTGGGAGCTGATCCAAACCGACGAGTGGAACACGTCCGTCTCGATCGCCCAGTGAAATAGAAGCGCTCCAAAACGACCAGTGGAATTCGCCATTAAACGGAAACGCCAATAATGTCGGTGGATGCCACAAAGTCTATGGAGTACCAATGGTACCATTTTCAAAAGTCCACCAAGCAACATTGGCGGTCGCCATTGTTTGGACACGAGGCGCGTGATTGGATCCGAATCCTCGCCGAAAGCTGACGTCACACTCGTATCCAATACATATTAGAGCACGTGATCAAGCAATGGCGGGCAGGCAATTGGCGCGAACTTTTGAAAAGGGCCTCTATGACTAAAAATTAAAACAGCGCAAGGACACGGACAAGAACAAGAAGGTAGACGAACAAGGCGCTGTGTTTCTGCTTGATGGCAGTTCGTCGTCCAGTTGCCCGAGCAGCTCCTCCAGCAGCAGCGGCTCGAGTAGCGGCGACGACGAGCATCGCTTGTATCTCCCGCATGAATTCGACTGCCTTTTCGGACCTCAGCAGAAGAGGCCGAAAATCGAGACGTATACTTGGACACGGTTCACGAGTGTTCCGTTGAAGAGGCAATTGGGCTACGCTGATACACATCGCTTACCGACACGCATCTTTCACGTTAATAACTTCGCTCGTGCGTTGAACACCGCCGCGATGGCGAAAACATGTGCTTTGAAATCCGGGACCGCGGGAAGAGGATTCTCGGGAAGTTGACTGACGGGAAGGCATCCGCCGATCCCCGGAGGTCCGGGGGATCTGGTGTACTAATCCCGGCGCGCTCCAAAGCAACCAGAACTCTGTCTTCCGCAATGACCCATGATTACTGTCTTTTATTGGTGATTAGGCTGGTTAGGCAGTTTTTGGTGGGGGACAGCATTGTTATGGTTAGACCCTCCTGGCGGGTTGCCCGAAGCGCAGACTAGCCACTTCCGACTTGGTTGGACGTGACTCTGGAGCGACGCAGCAAATGTGCCCTTCCCTTCGCCTTCATACAATGCGTTCCGGTGGAGGCAGGGCAATGAACTAGCAGCGGTCGCAATTTGTTTGTCATGGCCGCCCGTCGCTTTGTTGCTTGTTTACACGCTTGCCTGCTTCGCCAGTTCGTAGGACATCCGGTCCCTGCGTAAATTTATGCGCCCCCCCCTTCCCTCCGTCCTCAGCTCTACGGGGGTCTTCCTTCATTTTCGTATTTATTTATTTTTTTCGCTTCGTTGCACAGTGTGATCATGACGGCGGGGTCATCATTAATTTGCGAGCGAGATATGATTTTTTTTAACGAATTTATACTCGTCTGACGCAGACGACTAATTAGGCTTAGAAAATTGAATATATACACAAGACAAGAGGCATAACCCTTATAAAAGTGATAAATTAGTTTCAATTGAGTTTCTAATGTATTCTGATAGAATACATAGTAACTCAATAGAAACTCATTGATAATATTTGTAAGGGAAGCGTGTACTAACTTGCAGGCTCTTTTTTTTTTTCGACGCGGAGCTTATTGGGTTAATAGATATAATTGGGGTTTCTATCGCCCCTGTTTGCGCGTAAAGCTACTAGCTCTTTGAGGGATGTACAGGGTGTCACAAAAGAAAATTTACACGGTCTTTTTTACCGCAAAAATAAACTAGGCATCGCCGAACGCTCATTCTCCGCCCAAATGTAGAGCTGGAGGTCACAACCAGATGCCAAAGTTTCAACCCGATCCGATAACTTAATCAAAAGCTATAAATGATTTTCTGAAAATTTCAATGGGAAAATGGCGGCCGACGGAGTTTTCAAACACATGGGGCTCTATGGCACCAGAAACCGAAAACGAGCGAAAATGGGGTCTATTTTCCCATTGAAATTTTCAGAAAATCACTTATAACTTTTGATTAAGTTATCGGATCGGGCTGAAACTTCGGCATCTGGTTGTGACCTCTAGCTCTACCTTTGGGCGGAAAATGAGCGTTCGGCGATGCCTAGTTTATTTTTGCGGTAAAAAAGACCGTGTAAATTTTCATTTGTGACACCCTATACTATGCGGTTCTTTTCCCGTGTCTGTCTAGAGTTCGCAGTCATTGCTCGATCGCGTTTAGTGGCCAAGTTATAAATTTAAAAACAAAACCGGTTGAGTGGTGGCGTCCGCGCGGCAGTTTTATTGGTTTCGGTTTTGTTTTTTCGCGCGTGGGAAAGTCCGAAACTCCGGCTTCGCTTGCGGTAGACGGCCGCCGACAAAACATGGCTGCCGGCGGCGCCGGCGGCGTCTGCTTTTGAGACGATTGCAGACGACTTTCTTAATGCTTTCGCAATCTCTTATTGAGTTCGATCTTTTTTTTTTTTTTTTCTTTCTATCGTTATCTTTCGCCTTGTTTCGTAGCGTGAGAACGGATAATATCGACGGTTGTGTAGCTGGTGGGCATTTCGTTGAACCCTTCGACTGACGTGTTATATGCATCTTAAAAAAAAAAGAAGAAAAAAAAAGTTCTGAGGGTTTTATGACACCCGTTCGATGTTCATCTTTTTTTGTGCGTTCTATTAATTTTTCTGCGGACGTGAAACGGTTGCGGTTTGCAGATCACGTCGTCTGTAAAACAGCCCCACTTCAAATCGAAGGGGACACTTTTTGTGTGTCGGCGACCCCGAAGTGTGCCCCCCATCCGTAACGCTGTTTTGCAAGGGGTGCGGGGAGCATACAAGGAAACACCTGGTGGGACTTTTATTTTTAGTCATTTTGTGGCGTCAACTGTGCGCACACACCGGAAGTTCAGGTGTGAGGAGGAAAAAAAGAGACGTTGCTGCTGTCGGCTGGAGGGACGCGAATCAATTCAACAACAAAAATGGCGGCCGCCATTTTAAAGCGTGTCGACGTCTCGTTTCTGTTTTTCTCTTTCCACCTGTCCTTTCGGAGTTTTATTTCGTTTTCAAGATATTTTCTTTCCTTTTTCTTTTTCTTTGGGTGGGGGAAGCGGTGTTGCTTGGTATTCACGGAAGCTCCCAGGCGCGGAAGTTCAGAACTGATAAGCCGGTGGAAAACGCTAGCAGACGGCGAATGTGCAGCCGCCATTTTGGTGGCTAGGAAGCAGGACGCGAAAAAAAGAAAACGGTCAAACGGTGTGCCAACAATAACAGAAAAAGGGGGAAGGGGAGTGGTGTGATAGAGCAAACTAACAATGATGGGATGCAGGTGAGCTTTTCTTCCTTTTTGTGTAGAGTGGAATAAAGTCTGCTGGCATCTGCGCAAGGTGAATAGACCCATTTCTCAAGGGCACCGCCATCTTGAAATACTGTCACTTCCAGTATGGACGAAAATATTGTTATGCCGTTGCCACGCCAATAGAATACATGTGGGATATAATTGTGACCGTCATTTATTCTCGTTTTGTCTCCCCTTTAGTTTAATTTTTTTTTTTAATATTTGCAGGTTAAATTGTTTTATTTTTTGTCACCCATACGGGATAAGTGACAAAAAATACTTTTATTTAAATTTAGGAACGTTTTTTTCCCCTTTTTCAGCTTTGTTCTGAATTATATTTAATTCTATTTCAGGTCTGCACTATTTTTAGTGGTTTTGTTACTGCCGAATTGAAATTGAACAAAAATGCAGTTTGCTTTTAATTTTCTTTGTCAGTTGGACATGTCTAACATGTTTCCTGCTACTTCTCATGTCTCTGTTTGCACATTGGAATTCTTTTATTTTGAATATGCTAGTCTTTTGCAGGCTTAGGAATAGCAGGACAACTTTTTCCCATAAAGCCCTCCACTCTTTCCAGTTTAGCTGAGTGAATGGTGCAGACGAGGAAATCACTAATCATGACCAGCAGAGCTTTGTGGGAGGGGCATGACCTGCTATTCTAAACCTGCAACAGGCTATAGTCAGTATATGTTTTGGAGAATATTGGCGTCTTTGCGTGATTGGGTGTGGCTCCAAAGAAATGATGAATTACAGTTGGAAACGTCATGCGAAGTAGCGCATTGCAGTTGGTGCCAAAAGGTTTGGAGTCACCAATTGATTTGCCTTGGAGCCTGAACTGGGGGTACTTCCAGTTTTACCGAGATCTGTGCTATCCAGAGTTCACATCCTCTCCTGTTTAGTTCCAAGATGATTCTGCCTGGTCGTTCCTCTTCCGACGAGCAATTTTCTTTGCTGTGCCGTGCAGACCTGACCCATGAGGAGCAGCAGCTGCTGGCAGAGATCCGCCAGCGCAAGACGGAGCTGCTCCGGGAGATCCAACAGCTCAAGGACGAGATCGAGGAGGTGACGGCCGAGATGGAGCGCCTCGAAGCGCAGGAGGACGGCGGCTCTCGGACTTCCACCAAAGCCAAGCAGCTGTCCATCGGCAAGAAGAAGTTCAACATGGACCCCAAGAAAGGCATTGAGTACCTTGTGGAACACGGACTACTCCGCCCAGACGCGGCGCACGAGGTGGCCCAGTTCCTTTATAAGGGGCAGGGCCTCAACAAGACCGCCATCGGAGATTACCTCGGCGAACGCAACGACTTCAACATGCGGGTCCTCGATGCCTTTGTGGAGCTGCACGACTTCACGGACCTCATCTTGGTCCAGGCACTGCGACAGTTCCTCTGGAGCTTCAGGCTTCCCGGCGAGGCGCAGAAGATTGACCGCATGATGGAGAAGTTTGCCCAGCGCTACTGCCAGCTGAACCCGGGCGTCTTCAGCAACACGGACACGTGCTACGTGCTGTCGTTTGCAGTGATCATGCTGAACACGTCGCTGCACAACCCGAGCGTGCGCGACAAGCCGTCGGTGGAGCAGTTTGTGTCGATGAACAGGGGCATCAACAACGGCGGGGACTTGCCGCGGGAGTTGCTGGCTTCGCTGTACGACAGCATCCGTCAGGAGCCCTTTAAGATACCGGAGGACGACGGGAATGATCTAATGCACACATTCTTTAATCCAGACCGGGAAGGATGGCTCTGGAAGCAAGGTGGGTTCTGGATCTTGCTTAGAATTGGCAGAAATATGCTTGGCTGCATGCTCGGCTCTTGTCAGCTAGCTTTTGCTCTGGATAGAAACTTACTTCTGCTTTGAAATAATTGTGGAAGAAACTGGTTTTAGTGCTTGTTTTATGAAAACATCACCAACAAATTGCTTTTTTTTTTTTTTTTTTTTTTTTTTTTGTAGTTTGATTTTAGTTTTGAGTATTTAAGTAGATAGCTTTGCAAGTACCTAGGTCTCTAGGACTCAGCAGCTAGAAATGTTTGCAGGTGACCTAAGAGCAGACTCTGTGCTGAAATCAACAGCCAGATGTGTTGAAGATGGGAAGCATGCTTTTTGGATACACAAATAAAACTTTATTTTTGCTTTTTGATCAATCTGACATCCCATAAACATAGTGATTAAACCAATAGAATTAACTGGCCTGGTGATGAAGTTCACTTTAAAATGGAACGTGAACACATACATACAGAACATTGGTCAGGGAATAGACCCTTTCCGAAATTCGGTGCCATCTGGTGGCTGAAATGGCGGTTTAACTTTTGCCATACGAATGGCGGCAATGAACCCATAGCCTGCAGTATTTTATCGGGCACCGTCACTTTTGCATGCCAACGGCAGACGAGAATAAACTTTTCGCTATCCAGGTTTTTCTAGATCATCTCTTCCAGCGTCGATTCCCACAACGATGCAACCAGTCAGAACGAAGCGCCAACCCAGACAGACGCATTGATATATTGCATTGACGCATTATATAGGCCAAGGGGTGTCGAAGTCGATTTCGTGCCACTAACAGGTTCACTGGGCTCGAATTTGTGAAATGAACACTTACGCAGCGCTTGTATTCAATTCCGGTTTCGCAACGTGCTAACGTCTAGAATGTATAGGCCTCGAATCCACAGCTTAGGAGTATCTTCAACATGTTCCCTCATCAGTAAATAGAAAGCCGCCATTCGTATGGCACAATGCAGTTTTTCAGATGATGATGATAGTGATCAAAGTGGCCAGACTGAATTTCGGAAAGGGTCTATTGCCCTATCAGTTATTTATAGTACTGTGTTCTTCAAATAAAAAAAATAACTGATTATTCTCGTGACTGCTTAGCATTATTTTTTTACATGCCCCCCTTGATGCCGTGAATATGTATTCCCACTTCATTTCAACCACCTCGTGTTGCTCTTTAGAAGTTCTATGCCACTCTTTTTGTTTCTGTCCGATAATAGGAAGCTTGCCTGGGAACTTCTAAACTTGCCCGGATGATGCGGAAATGCAATTTTCATAGTTCCTTCGCTTTTGCATGGCTTAGCTAGGTGTCTTTATTTTTCCGTAGTCATTCGAAGAATTGAGACGTTTTTTTGCGTCTCGTTCTTTCCCCCCCCCCCCCCCCCCCCCCTTTTTTCTGCCCCTTCCCCTCGCATCTCAGGGAGCTCCAAGATGAGTAAGTGGACGCTTCGTGCTAAGTGCAAGTTCGTTGGCGGTCGGAATGGAACGCGCTTTTATAGTGGACAGCCTGTAAAACATCTCACCTTATTTCCCCTTGCCTTGTCATCGTGCAGGTGGGCGCTACAAGAGCTGGAAGCGGCGGTGGTTCATCCTCAACGACAACTGCCTTTACTACTTTGAGTATACCACGGTGAGAACATGCTTACTTGGGATTGTCCGTCAAGGTCGGCGCATTTAGGTTATGGGGGCATGCGAGAAAAACTTGTGGCTGTGCATGCTGGATATCTTATGTTAGTGGCTAAACATTTTGATTGAATTCTGATATGCCACTGTTACCTGGAATGAATCCATATTAGTCTTTTCTTCAATCAACTGCACATGCCTGTCACATAGGTGGCAAGGCTACCTTGCAAGTGATCCATGATAGGATATATGCTCAGAGTCAGCTTTCATTCCAAACTCTAGCTCGACCAGTCTGTTCTCACACGTGGCTCTAAGCCCCTTGATGTGAACTCTCTCAGTTTAGTGCTTCATGCTGTACTTTTGCTTGTCAAAGAGTGACATATTGATAAAGAACTTGGCACGCATAAATGATGGCACCTAATAAAATACTTCAATACCGCCATCAATGTGGCAGAGGTTACACTACTGTTTGAGCAACTAGGCAGCACTGGGTGAGTTTAGAAAAGTCTCTGGTAAAGATTAACTGATGAAATTACAAACACTGGCCATTCCCCGTTTCACTTTACGATAGACCACAGCAGAAGCACGAGCCATCGGAGCCAATTGAATGCCGCACAATTTTCTTACAACTTTCGATGGGTTGGCTGGGATCGCTTGTAGCAAGCATACGGTAACCTGAAATGAAGTATAGGTGGCGCAAGCTGCCAACTGATTAGAAGGTTTCAGTCATGCATTTATCTATCCATTTGGTCTATGACTATAGACAGGGTGGTAAAGATGGGAGCAGAATACTGCAAATAGTAAGCACTGACATCAGTGGTCCGGAGAGAAAGAATGGGAAAGAGTGACAGAAAAGCGGAGGAAGGAGGCAGACGAGAGGTTTGGCGTGCTCGTTCGGCCATGACTGGATGAGGTTGTTCCAGTGCTCAACCTTATTTATTTTTATACTATGAGAAAGGCCAGTGTTTTTTTGCGAAGTAAGGGTAAAAGAAACTAGATTAAGACCTTGCAAGTTGTGCTTTCCTGCTTCTTTGTATCTATCAAAAGCGTCGCCAGCAATGTGAGCAATATGGTTCCATTGGGACCACCGACATCCATGTCTATAGCCCGCCATTCTGAAGCAGCCAAAATGCGCGAGACCTTTCCCTCAAGATTATTATAGCAACCCTACGATTGTAGATGTTGCTTTTAATCAAAGCAGCGACTTTTCTTCCGCATTATTTTCTCTGAGAAAATTTTGGGCGTCTTGTGAAAATTTTGGCGAGCGCTTGGCGACATGTGCGCGGTCTTCCCCTTGTGACAGGACAAGGAGCCCCGGGGCATCATCCCGCTGGAGAATGTGCAGGTGAAGGAGGTGCAGGACCGTCACAAGCCCAACTGCTTCGAGCTGTTCTCGGTGGCCAATGAGCTCATCAAGGCCTGCAAGACCGACTCTGAGGGCAAGGTGGTCGAGGGCAAGCACACTGTCTACCGGATGTCCGCAGCCAGCCCCGAGGAGAAGGACCACTGGATACACTGCCTCAGGTCAGAGCCCGTCCCAACATGCAAACAAATGTTCCTTTTTTTTCTTTTTTTTTTTGGGGGGGGGATACATTTGGACGGGAGGCAAGAGCAAGTCTGCAGTCTGCCACCTTACAAAATTCTTGGCAGGTCAGCCACTTAACAATCAAGCAAGATGAAAAAAGAAAAAAAAAAAAAAGCTTTGGTTTAGGTTTACACATATTTTACGCTGTTACTATTTTTTACTCAGACATCACTTACCACCAGGAATTTTCTAATACTTTTCTTGAAATTGTGAAATAAATGTTGGAAGTTTATTAGTTCTTCAATTTTATTTAACGAATTAGGTACCTGGTAAGTAATTTGTTGCTTTCCATAACTTATTCTAACTTTAGGGGCTTTCCAAAGACTTCCTCATTACATGCTCTGCACTACAACCTTCTGGAGTGAGGAATATTTTTTTTTGTGTGTATTAGCTGAAGCAGTTTAAAGTCACATATTTTGTTGGCTTTTAATATAATAGATTTTTTAAACAATTCACTCGTGCACATGAGACGGCAAAAACAAATTTCGGATTAAAAAACATTTTCTTAGTGTCCGCTTCTAGTGCATAAAATACATGTGAGCAATTCTCAGACATAAAGCGCCTTGACAAGTGCTTGCTTTATGAGCTAAAGAATAAGCTCGTAGTGTACAACAATTATCGTTAACATACCCTGTGATTCACAAAATCCGTTGCAGCTCGCTATAATGGAGCAATCTTCAAAAAAAAAAAAAGTATCCTTCTGTGGTTTGCACTTGTGGATAGTCGGCATTGCATAAAATTTCACCTTTCATATTCATATTGTCTGTGGACTAGAGTCTGGCAAATATGGTACTTAGAGTAGCATAATATTAAAAAGTGGAAGCTGAGGGTGGGTTTTGCATCGGGAGACCTAGGTCACCATCACAAGCGGTGCTTTGCTTTTTATGTCCGCTTGTTACCGTCTGTTTTTCAGCTTTTCTACTAGTTTTGCCTCAAAATACAGCTTTTGGGTCCCTTTATTTTTTTTTTTATATAACATAAGGTATGCAGATAGGGATTTAATTAAAAAGGGGGGATGTGCAACCAAGCCCTAATTAAAAAGGGGCCCGATACCTCGAGGCCTAGTTGGCCTTTTCTTCAGAGGTGACTGGGGCGATATTTTTGTTTTTGTCTTTTTGATGGCAAAACTTTTGTTAAAAAGTGGTGCTTCCCGACGGCCATTGCCATAGTCAAAGAAGAGGGAGGATTGACTTTGGCACATCAAGTTCCTGAATAGGGCTTAGTTAGACATCCCCACTTCTTAATTTAGTTTTCCCCAACCAGACAGATCTCTGCCAAACGCTTAAGTTTGAGATTGGAATCAGAATTAACGCCAGTTGCTCCCCTTCCGTTGTGAAACAAAAAGCCGAATGCACTCCTGCATTTGGCTTCTGTTTTCCCAACAAAACTACAAATCGGTTAATGCAATTTGGTTCTCATATTGTTTGCAGACCTCTGGTTCTTCTCATGGGACCAATAGTATCTTGAAATGCATCAATGTGGCTTGTATGGCTTCTAAGCTAAAGAGTGTGGGCCTCTTCTACTCTACTATACCACTGCTTATCCTACTAAAGTTGGGTGCATTCTAAGAACTACTCACACACAGCTGGTGCAAAACCAGTTTCCTAAATCGTAAAGTTGTCCAAAGCACAACTGCTGCGCTGGTGTGGTTAAGCTAAAAGAGGTGGCTTTTTGGAAGTGTCACTGATGGTTGTGGTCTTTTCTGCTCTGCAGGCAAAGCATCAGCCACAATCCCTTCTACGACATGCTGTCTGCCCGTAAAAAGAAGGCCCAGTATTATAACCTCAAGTGACGCAGACAGTCCATCCTTTCTTCCGTCGAGCCATTCTAGTCACGGCTGTGTACATACCGCAATAAACTGCCCGTTGCAGGGCAAAGATTCCTTTTTTCTTTACCTTTGAGCGTCCTTTCTTTTTGGAGGGGATGCAGGTTTTAGTTCTTTGTCTGCCACAGCAGACGAGGATTCCTGCCCTAAGGATTCCTCATCAAGCAATTCTGAAATGTGGTTCCACAATAGATTGTGTACACTTGTCTATAACGCGCGAGCGTGCGGCTTTCTCCGGGGAGCGCTCGACTGGTGGCATTCGCGGAAACTAAGCTAGTCACGTGGCGCAACATGGAACGGCCCGCTCGAGGGGTGTCGTCCTGCCCACTCTATCAGCTTGATAAGCGATAAAAGTAAACTGCTTTATGACATAGTTTTGTTTTTTGATGACAACATCGTTGATACGCCTTCATGCTTTAGTGTGTTTATTGTTCGAGCAATGATGTTTGTAAAAAGCGTGCGGGCAGCCTTCCGCGTTCGCCGCCAGCTGATAGAGTGGGCAGGACACCCCTCGAGCGGGCCGTTCCATGTTGCGCCACGTGACTAGCTCAGTTTCCGGGAATGCCACCAGTGTAGCGCTCCCCGGAGAAAGCCGCACTGGCCGCACGCTCGCGCGTTATAGACAAGTGTGATTAGCACTGTACAACAGCTGGATAGGTTCAAGGAAAGACTAGTGCTGTGCGATGTCTTGTGCTGTAGATCTCTGCCTGTTCCTTGTGAGTTCAAACTTTTTACTCTGTTCTCCCTCTGTTTTAAAGGTGTTTGCTGCCAAGAGGTAAGTTTGAACTGCTCATGTTTGAACAAAAATGCAGAACTCCCAACAGCTAGCCTGGCAATTTGGGGTCTTCCTGTTTCATATTTTTTCAGTTTATTTGGGTCAATTGCGTGCACATTTAAATTGTTTTCTAAAAAAATCTTAAGGACAATGCAAATTTTGCTCTGGCAATCTGTTCATTGAATGACGTTGCATCGACGAATCATTTCATCAACAGCTCGGACGAGCTTTTTCTGTATGAGCAGCCTCAGACTGTCGCTGCAAAGCGTCATGTGCTAAGTGTGTAGGGAAGGTGGGTTCGATGGGTTAATATTTTTGCAATGAGCAGCAGCAGACTGGTGGGCCGATTAAGTTAACATGCGCCCCGATGATACACGCGCGACGAGATGTTCCTACAGCGTGCAATTCGCGTACAGAGTCGAAACAATGGTGTCGACGAAACACGTTTCCACAAAATATGATACTGACCTCTAATTTACCTTAATCCTTGATCAAATTATTTCTTGCTGCTTGTGGAAACCATGGCGGCAACTCCAACAAACTGAGTCGTAGACTGGCACGAAAATGGAGTAATGGTTTAACCTACACTCGGGAACAACCCTCGTGTTATGGGAGCCGATATCGCGCGCGCAGATCGCGGGCAAAAATGCGGGAACCAGTGATTTCCCTACACCTCCCCTATGGGGATGTACCCTCCCTCCCCCTTGTTTTTTCTAGGGCACCCCCTTAATTCACGACTGGCGGGAACCCGCTATGAACTCGCTTGTCAGACGTCCGACATCGCGTGATGTTCGACAGGAATCGCGGTGTGGGGGATGTTTCGTAACTTTTTATGTTGCAGATATTTAGCCAGAATATCGGGATGGGCGATCTCTCAGGGGAGGGGGGAAGGGGGCGGTGGCGTGTTCTGTCAGAATATTACGGTGGTCAAATTTATTGATTTAGGATGCCATTAAAATTTGGTTGAATAGCCTATGGAACAACCTGCCATTTACAAACAAGCTTGTGTTTCAGGTGGACACTGCATGCGCAGAAATCCGATCCGGGAAAAGTAAAGTCTTTGCGCATGCACAGTGCCATGATGTCGGACAGTTAACATTTAGTGCATCATTTGACACGGCTGGGTATTTGCTGAATTGGTTGTATCCCAGAATAGCTTCGATCAGAGCACAGCCTTGGAGCAGGGCATGCCCCTCAATGAAGACGACAAAATCGCGCGCTTTTTTAATTGCACCAAGGAGGCCCAGCCAAAGGCCGACGAGACAAAATGACCACGCATTAGAGTTCTAGCGAGTCGTTTCGACGCGAACAGTTTGCGAACGCCACGGCGCATGCGCGGTTCTGGGGGTCGGGCTTTCTCTCGTAACCGCAGGGTCCCAAATCAGCTCTCGGTTGCCAAAAAATATAAAGATTTTTTTTATTATTGTCTAATATAATTTTATTTTTTAACGCCAGGATTGATTGAGTTTGCAGTTACGAGGGGAAGCGACCTTACAGAGCAGTTTTGAGAATGTATGGAAACTAGCACCGTGTGGAAGTGTACGGAAAAGGATATCAAATCCACTTACTCTTGTTTGGACATGGCAGTTAGCACTATTAATCTTTTTATTGGCAGACCTCTTTGTAACTACTATTATAAACAACTTAATTTTCACGTATTTTGTGACAATACTGTGAAATATAGATCCCACAGATATTACACCCTATGGTAACAAATACATAGCAAACCAATCCCAATCGCTATATTTAGTGCCCGCGAAATGTTCCCGAAACTTAAGACTTTGTGAAATATCGAGAACGCAAAAATACAGTTATTTACTGTATCTGACAAACCCATCTGCGGCAGCGAGCCCAAGGGGCATCACCAGTTCTTAAAAAGAAATAACTCCAGAGCAGAAAAGGGCATCTTTATTTTTACTGACATCACTGTCTTGTCACATTTTTGAGGAAAAAGCTCCCAAAAAATTTCTCTCAAATAAATATATGTCTGTTTGCTGCAAACCAGCAGAAAGAAGAAAAAAGAAACATGCATAAAGGCCGTTTCACGCAGAGTAATGCACCACAGATAGGTTTGTGGCTCTGCATAGACATCATCATCATCGGTATTGGGAAAGGACGACAATGATGATGATGATGATGATTACGACGACAATAACAATGCCCATGCAGAGTCACACACGTGGTTTTTCCAAAAAAGTGTGTAAAACGGACTTAACTTTGTTTTGGCGTTTCTAATTACGAAGAAGGGAAAAGTTATTTACAGTCTTGCACACACAGTTGCTGGCAGGGTTCTTTGGGCAGTAGGCCAGGTTATTTAGGAGTTGTTGAGATTATTGGATCAATAAGGGCTTTTGCAACCAGGGTTCTGTGTTTTCAGCACATATAGATAAACCCAATTAACCCCTCCCCTCCTACCCTCCCTCTCTCTCTCTCCACCTCTCCTCCCCCCCCAATCCTAAATTCAAACAGAAGTAAATGCTCGAAAACGCAGAACCCTACCTGGAACTAAACATGCTGGCACACACAATCGACTTCACACCACACTGCGAGAGCATAAACACGGCATCGCGCGTTCTGCAATGGGATATTCCAAAGGCTTATCCTGCAGAAGCATCCTGCTCCATCCTTTTTGCCTCCGACAGTGCTTGGTCACTTGTTCTTTTGGTGATTTGCACAACGGCGGGTTCGTTTCAAACAATAAAGTAGCTTTACGACAACCAAGGATGTGACAAAAGCCCTTCTCAAACTGCAGGGCGCTCAACGAATATCCCAACTGGAAAAGCATCCTATAAACGTGGGCAAAAACAAACAAAAAAACATGCAGGCTTACGATACACATACATGCACACATCATGCTGAAACATTTTATACAGAGCCCTTGTCAGAAAGACCGCACGAGAAACGAAGCAGGAACGACACGCTGAAAGAAAAACTTGTCCGTAGCAGTTGTTAACGGTCACATAAAACCACTTGGCTCTCTTGCGAAATAATTAAACTAATTATATAAAGTTTCCACAAGTTCACCTAAAATATTTCATAAAAACGCGTCTACAAAACACCCGATGTCCTCCGGAGATGGCCTTTCTAGCACGATCTACCATGATTAGAAAAGCGTTTACAAGAATAGCACTCTCGGCGAACACGCAAGACGCACGCACACACACGCGGGAGTTAGAAATATATGCACTGTATATATGTACACAGCAATAAGAACTCATTCTATACAAGCGTATGTACACATAGATATTTTTTCAGACTAGCTAGGGGTCGCAGTTGCGGAGAAAGCAAGCGTGTAAGAGTCTGGTCATCAGATGAGTACAGGAGGTAAAAGCCTGCATTAGTCGGCATCGGCTCAAACATTCTGTACATTCAGATTCGCTTCCTTCATTTTGCTTTGCACAAGCCAAAAAGAAAACATGCTGCTTGATGATGGCAATGTTTAAAAGCGTAAAGATCAGAAATTGCTTTCGAGTACACTCGCGATGCAAGCTCCATTTTGAAAGGTCTCGGACAATGTTCCGTTAACTCGATCGGAACTTCCGGATTTGTCTTAGATGCTTGACTCTCGGCCTCGTTTGAGACTGACGACTTCTCTGTTGATGTAGAGGCAAGATATTCAATATTCACAATTTTGCCCCCCTTTTGTTTTAGGAAGCCTAAGTAGCTAAAAAGACTTTGTTCGACAGCTCTCTCGTCAGTAACAAGGCAGGTTCTCTATACAAATCAGTGTAGCAGTCACCAAGACACAATGAAACATCTTGGTTGTGTTTCCACTTTAAAGAGATGGCTCAAATCCCTCGCTTCGTGGCGTCACTCTGTCGGATCCGTTGCTGTGATCCAAATCCGCCGACTCCGAATCGTTCCCTTGGGGGCTGGAGTAGCTCGCGGCCTCTTGAAGACGCATCAGCATGTTGAGCTTTAAAAGACAAAGAGAAATAAACTATTCAAAATCGTGTTCGGGAAGCTAAAAATTGAGGGCATATGTGTCCTCAAGTTCCGTCTGCCAAATAAAACAAAAATGCGAACATTTCACTGGAAACCACTAGTAGAGGAAAAAGCGCTGAAACTAAAGCTAAAGCTTGAGGCAGCTTGAAACCTAGTTAGGTTTCAGTTCAATTCCACTTTAAGTGTCGGCTCGAAACCTAATCTACAACCTAATTAGCCACAGTGAGAGATCTAGCTTGAGGCCTAACCAGGCTTCAAGCTAGATCTTTGGAAAGTAGCGCCGAGCTTCCCATAAAGTTGCCATTTTAGTTCATGGAGTGAGCAGTGTCTCATACACCTTTTCATCCTTTGTGAGCTCGTCTAAATTCGTGGTGACAGGTTGCTTTATAAAGGAATTTCTTGTATACCCAGATTTCGTTACGGACACGCCGGCAAAACAAGCGCATATCTTTGTATCGCCACCATACGCAGTGTCGGTGCTCGACCCCGTCGAAAAACAATTTCCCTGTCTCAAAATATGGGATAAGAACACTATCATTATAAGAGATCTGCAGAAATAAGCACGACTGATAAGGTGATTACGTGCACAGCGGCAAAGAAGCATATACTGGCGAGGAATGCTTTCAGTACGACGATGCTTCATAGCAATCTTGGCACGACTGAAGCTTGGAAGATTTGATGGGACCACGATGGCAATTGCCATGGAAACGGAAACCGAACAGCCAATTGCCTTGCAAGGTTTCAATTGTTTGTAGGTTAGTATCTTGTGTCCGGATAGCAGGCAGGGAAGGCCAATGGCGCTACTTTCTCTCGATCCAGAGTCTTTACTTGGAGCAGCACAGAGGTTTAGTATATGCCAGCCAGGAAAGAGACTCGAGACCCCAATTCCAGATAAAGTAGTGTCCACCCCGTGTCCCTAAACGTGGGCTCACCAGCGGGTCTGCGTCGGCGTCTGGCTGGTCGCTGGCAACCTTGGGCCCCGCGCTGGGGTCGTAGCCCAGGTCTTCGGGCCGTAGCCTGAGCAACTGTGGGGCGTCGGAGGCCGGGCCGGGCCAGGGGTACGTCTGGAGCACCCACTCCGCCGGGTCCTCCCAGGGGGCCCTCTTGCCATACAGCTAGAGTGAACAGAAAACAATACATTGACACTCAATCAATCAACCGGTCAACCAGCTGCTTATTCGACTGCCCAACCAATCAATTAACCAGCCAATCAATCAATCAGTCAACTGAACAATCAATTGACCGACCGATCAATCAATCAATCAATGTTTATTTTTTCTATATAAGGCAGGGTATGGGGAACAGCCGACACCACGAAATATGAGAGATTATTTAATTTTAAACTTCAAAGAAAAAAAACTGGTTTATTTGTCTTATCACTATATTTTGTCTGTGGCAACGAGGGCTTATTTTGTAGAACGTTCAGCATGAATGCTTTTCTGCTTCGTTTCAAAGCTTATTGAAATTGTAGAGCCTTTGACCCTAAACTCCTATACAAAAGACAATAATTGTCATAAAAATTGTGTCTGTTGCTTCTGAATGGGCTTCGTGTACTGCACAATCTTTTCCTTCAATATTTAGACAAAGATTTTCTTGCAGGGTACAGCGAGTGAGAACTAGAGTAAAAAACACCAGCGCAGAAAAAGAGAAATTTATGTTCGGAATTTATAAACGAGGGAAAATGTAATGCCAGTTCGACCAGTGCATCGAGTGTCCAATCAATTCGTGTGAAGACCAATTCACACCAATCATCGTTTTGCGATCGGAACTTTGACAAGCTCAGTCAGATCAGCATCCCCTCAAAGCAAAAATTCTGACCTTGACGAGGGGTAAGAAAGGTACAGAGAGTGCCCGTCTTACCTGTAGTCCCTCCCTAACGGCTTCCAGAAGATACGGCACAATGCTGTAGTTCCAGAGGTCTGTGAACCAGACTTGGGAGCTGGCCACGTCCATCGGGCAAGCCAGGAATAGCCGGGGACCTTTTGGATAGAAAGAAAGTGACTCATTCATACGAAGATATGTTTAGATGCAATATGCCATCAAGACGATCGAAACTTCAAACTAGAAACGGTTCCCTGCCACCGTCTCCAGTTTCAAAGTCCCTTTAAGGGAGAATATTGCTTCTAGATTTTACTTTATTTTTATTTAATTTAGTTAATTAATTACTTTGCTAATATTGAAAGTTTAAGATTATGGTCTAGATTGAGACAAATTCAGAATCTGGAAACCGAAAAATATTTATGTAAACTACGAGGTCCGTAGAATCGAGCAAGGTACAAATAAAAGCTCTATGTGGTTCCTTTCTTTTCCTTTCAAAAGTTTCTTTTGACACCAATGTCAAAATTATTTTTTGCAGGAAATATAGAAGCCACTCCACAAACAATCAGATGCCATATTGAAAATATATTTAACTCTTCTTAAATACCTCGCTTATACACATACCAAAAAGAGAGACAAAGATTGGTTTTGTGCAAGTAGACTTCCATAAAGTCTGTAAAAACAAAATTAATTTCGAATTAACAAAAAAAAAAAAACAACATTCACGGGCCCACTTTTAAGCTTTCAATTCAATACTTAAAAGAAATCAAGACTTACTTTACGGATATAATTTAGGACAAGATGATAAGGGACTGTAAATCTATAAAAAAACATAATTAAAAAAAGTTTTTTTTTTGTTGCTATTGCACCATACAAAAGACAGTCCCTGCAGACTCAGTCTGTTTCCTCACATTGGTCAAACAATAACTGTCGTTACACCAGTCTTGCACATGCTACGTGAAAAAAGGAACCGATTATAATTACGATTACTCTCGGTAAAAAAGTATTTGATTAGATTACTCGATTACTTGACAAGAAAAGTAATTGGCCGTTACACGAAAAAGCAACCGTTACTTCGCCGATTAGGTACTTCAGATTTTCAAAAGGAAAAATTTGTATGCTACCATGGAATCTACAGTGGAATCTTTGCATTATTCGAACAAAGTTCTGGTCTCCCTCAAGCTCAAATTAATGAGATTCCTCTCAAGTTTGAAAACGGGTCTTCATGCTGTCCATTATTGGATCAGAATTACCGAATTACAAGCTGCCTATCTCTTTAATACACCAATGTTGGTAGGCCATCCTCCTGTCAGAGAGTAAAAAGAGAAAAGAATAGTGGCGGTTACGAGCGATTTTAGTACTGCCGAAAGTAATCAGACCATTCTCGCAATTAGGTCGTAACAAAAGTAATTTTACAGAATTGATTACTCCAAAAAGTAATCGATTACAAGTAACCAAATGATTACAAAATTACTCCAAAAAGTGAATGATTACAAGTAACTTGATTACTTGTAATGAGTACCGCAACAGTTTGCTTTAGACACGTTTGAAGCGTACACGCGTTTGCAGACAAACATGCTTTGAACAGGATCGAGGGGCATCTGCAGGTACGTCCGTCACAGAGTCTGCGGCGAGCATTGCGTCTCGTACGACGCGTCCGCAGTGGGACCGCGGCTTCGGGACGAGCACTCACCGATGGTGACGTCGGACGAGCTGTGCGTTTCGAGAAACCGGTTCAGGTGGTGCCAGGCCCTGGGCATCCAGTCGATCACCTTGGCGAGTTCCGGTTGGTGCAGGCCGGAAGCGATCTCCTCTTCGGCGAGCCGGCGACGCAGGAACCGGCCCAGGAAGCCCTTGACGGGTTCCATGTGGTTGGCACACAGCACCCACCTGTTGGGGGCAAGGAGAGGGGGCAGCGGCGTCAGAACGCGGAACCGGGGCAAAAGCACGCGCTTGCGTTTGCTTAGGACCGACTTCCTGCCATCTTTTACGACGAGACATAACACCGGGGCACGTCGGCACCATTCATGAGGTGACCTTGGAACTGCATTTCACTAGAGTGAAGGTTTTGCGGTATTTGCGATATCAAATGTATATACCATCTATGAGATATAATCGTCTATAAGTTTGTCAAAAATATTTTCGACACAAAAAAAAAGGCAAGTAAAAAAAAAACAAGAACAAATAAATGGAAATGCCAAAGTGCTCCACGGCTACCCTATACTAGAGCCATATATAAAGAGAGTTTGGCCATACACTGGGAAATATAAGAGGCAAATGAGGAGGCGCCATTGGCCGAAAGCGGGCTGGGCCTGTTCCAGGGAGTCTTCGCAAATTCGAATGTGGCCAACCAAAAGCCGCGAATAATACCCCGACGGTGGTAGCAAGAAACAAAATTAATAAGTGCGTCGGAGTAACTCCCGTTGACTAAAAATATGGTGGATGCGATTTTTCAATCCCAGTCATCCAAAATAAAACTCTAGCAGCCATCTGAGCGGTCAGACTCCGTCTGAGCAAAACAGAGTTCTAGCGGCACATTCGATTGTTACGTCTTTTTGCACGATCATAATCGAAACATCACATGCGCCATATTTTCTACCATGAAGGGTTACTGCATTTAACTCTCATGCCCTTATAATAACTGTTTCTCGCTACCACCGCTAGGGGATTCTTTTCGGCTTCTAGTTGGCCAAGGGAGCATGCCAAGCCCTCTTTCTGCGTCTGGTGCACGCCTTGGCTCTGCCCGCGCCTCCCATTGACCAAAAATCTCCATATATACGGTTCTGGCCTATGCGATGGCGCAAGTGCATTAATCTCGTCGTAAGAGACTTTTTTAGAGTTTGGCACCCAGTCGTAAGCAGTCGGGAATAACTGCGACATTCATATTTTTCAAAAAGCTAAAGGCCGAAGACCAGACTCGAGATTCTGCAAGGCAGAAGATCCTCCTCACCGTGGGGGAGGAGGAAACAGGCAACGGTGGACAGGGTAGAGGGGGGAGAGGAGGAAGCGAGGGAGAAGTGGAAAGTGCAAACTGGTCGTCGGTCCTTAACTGCTGCAGGTTAGCCCCATGAGTGAGCTTCTTACTAAGCCTCGAAGCACTGCGGAGAAACAACACCCATGGAGCCCGCTACCGCGGGCATTGCTTCTCCGCAGTGCACTCGTGCTCGGTAAAAAGTACACTCAATGGGGCTATCATGGGGCTTTCAAGGAGGGATGGTGCACGTGCAAGCCCGGTGTATGTTAAAAAAAAAATAGAAACTTTGTGGATGTTTATATTTAGATTAAATTAAACTGGCTATATCGTGTGAATACCAGGCATAAATTCCCTGCTAACCTGAGTTGATCATTTGTGACCAAGAAAAGATATTTGCATATAGCAAGCATATTTAGAAATCCCCCCAATTAGGTATACCTCGGAATTTTCATAGGTTTAATCTTAGGAGGGTCTCTCTCTTTCTCGAATGAAGAGGAGGAATTTGGGGAGAGTCGTCCTTTCTGGCTGCTCGTGGGCCTTTAAGCATGGTGCAGTAGTGAAAGGCTTAGAAAAACTGTTCAATTTTCTATTCAAAAATATTCGGCCAAAATCACCATTCACTTCGAACTCAAAACCCACAATTGGCATGTGCTCAGCATTTATTACGCTAAAATTTCTTGAGTGTGGGTTTCCGGAGAAAAGAATGCAAGAATACAAAGGCTTGGCTACGCAATTGGAGAAAAAGGAAACTCCACCTGGATCACACTGCACATATCGTACCATACAGATCTAATGGATCTGCTTTGGACTGTTCATCTCTAAAAGCAAGTTTCTCCATCTTGTCATGCCATCTGTGAACAGCACCAACCTGATGGTTCGCTTCTAGCTGTTTTCCTGCCACTCATAAGAAAAAAAGGTTTTTCTTTTCTCGCATTTTGTCCCACCTACACTCGCGAAATTTAAGTATATATATATCGTAAGTGCACCACCTGAAGACAAGACATTTGCGAGAAGTTTCATTGCACTCAGATTATTGGCTTATTAATATGAATTTATTTTTACGCCAAAACAGCGCTCGAAAACACCCTGCAGTGGATGGAAACAATACTGACCTGAAGTTGTGATGTAGCTGAAGGTTTGTGGTGGAACACGTGGCTTGGTTCATCGTTCCAATGATGAATGGGCTGAAGTAGCAAGGAGAAATTGATTAATGTAATGTAAACAGACATGTTTGCCATCCACGTGCAAACGGCGATACAATGTTTGTTTCCGACAGATGTGGATGCATGCGTCTAAAATTACAAAATTCTGCACCTGAAAAGTCGTTCATTGAATCAAGTTTGCTTTCTAGGTTTGCTTGTGTTTTCTGTACAGGTGACACATGTCTAGAGATGTAATTTAAGAAATGATTTAAAAAAAAATGCCCCCTCAATTTTGAAAATGCAACAGCGTTATACGACTTTTGAAACCAACGCAATTCCTAAATCACTATTACAACATGTCTTAACTGTGTCTCGGACACCAATGATGACAAGCGTCATGCAACTTGAGAGCATCCTTTATATTTAGGGCTGCCGACAGGCCATACAGAAACCAAGAGAAACCATACAGAAACCAAGAGAGACCAAACAGAAACAGACACTGACCACTTTTGGTACTTGGCACTCAGGAAGCCGTTGAAGACCTCTCCCAGCGAGCCGACGTGATGGAGGTTGTCCAAGATTATCACAGCTGGCAGGTCGCTAACATTGCTGCGCAATATTAACAACAAAACTTGCTGAATGACAAAATGAAATTTAGCATGCCTGAGCACAAAATCCACAATAAAGTATTAGGCAAACATTTGCAAGAGCCTTATGTGTGTCTTTGAAAGCATCATACTATACGGTATTGGTTTTGCCTCTGGTTGGCAGCGAGACACCTGATTGGCCAGTTCAGTTACTCTGTTTCTGTGCTTCTGTGAGTTTTACAGTCATTATTACTATTTCAACCTTTTATTTAATTTATTATGTTCTAACATACACCAATGGAATAAAATTCTAGTAGCTAGACAAATTGCATATTTTAAAACAATAAGAAATTTGGTTAATATGAAGACCATTTCATTTGTGTAAAACAGCAAAAGTCAAATCTCACATTTTTATGTCAATGCCAGTACAGCACATTTGAGGTACCGGTAATTTTAAAAATTTTTATTTTAACTGATTGTAACACTATAGAAAGGTTCTTCCATATATTTCTGTATTACTTTCATCAATAATAGTTTTTTTTCTCTCCCTGTAAACCTTTTTCTTGCTACTTACATGAGCACGACTTTTGAGACAAATTGCAATTTGCAGACATCACCTTTTAATTATCATTTATACCTGCAACTGATGATGATTGACACAAGCAATTATGATCACAACAATGGTGCCGGTGGTAGTAGTGACAATGTTTCACACAAAGTTCCTTTCTGATTTCGGACGAAAAAATGCAGTAGAGGAAGTAGAGTGTATTTACCTGCTTTCGCACTGTTCGGCCACATTGGACAGGTACTGCCGCAGCTCCTTGGCAGACTTGTGGTCCACGCTGAAGGTTGCAATGGAGCCAGCTGCCAGGTCACGGCCGGACCTTTAAGAAGGGTCGTGGGAGCAACATGTCACGATCATGACGCTTTCTCCTCTTAGGACTGAAGTTGTCACTGCAGAACAAGCCCAACTAGAAAGTTCCCATCCACTTTGTGTAGTAATTATGCAAGAAAAAAGATTAAGTCATCTGAACAAGCTAGCTGTGCCTGTCTGTTCTGTCTCTAACTCTTTCCTGGCTATGCCCATAGGCCAAAGATCATCGGTGATCTATGGTTTTCTTTCGCGGTCAAGGAATTAAATTTAGTGCGGAGAATTGTGTTCCATAATCTCGTGGTGAGCTGAAAATCTTTAGTTTCGGTTTCAACGTAGGTTTAAGCTTTATCACAAGCTGGTGGGCTGTCAAAAATAGTCGTGGGAATGGTGGTTGCACTTGTCTAACATGGCTAATTGCTTGCATCAATCTTTGTAACAAAGATGGCATTATTTACATACTGTAAACAACTTATTTTTCGCTGGCTCATACATTTCGCGATCTAGGTCAAAGCTGAAGTTTTGGAATAATTTGCGTGTTCTAGTTTTTGCGACGCGGTGGGATCTCACTAGACTCCAATGCGTTTACGTTTTACCGGAACTGTTTGCGGGACCTATTTTTCGCGAATTGTAGGTGATTCGCCAAATTCACGAAAATTGGGCTCTCGCAAAAGTTAGGTCGTTTACAGTAATTCAACTGTATTGTGGCATATTTTTTAGACCATAAGAGCTTTGTGAACACTTCGAATGATGTTATAGGCGTTATAGGCGCTTAACAGATGGTTGTCGGTAAGCATCAGAATAATTTCCAATTGCTGTCCTAAGCCAGCGTGCACGTTTTATGTTCCCAAGAAGGTGCACAAAAATTCTAAATATGAGGGAACTGCAATCGAGGCTATGACAAAACCAAGGTACTATCGGGGAAAAATGAAATGCGAACAGAAAAGTGCGTGGCTCGCGGTACAGGCTGCGCCGCCTGGAAGTGATCCTAGGGGCGAGGGTGCGTGGCCTATTTCGATGTGTTCACGCCCCTCGATTGGCCTCCCCCAGCTTCGGTAGTGAGCCTCTCAGTGCGCTGAAAGCTGTCACCGCTATCTTTGCCTGCTTGGCGAGTGCGGCGAGCTTCTTTGCACCGCACGCGCTGAGCCAGCAAAGATAGCGGTGATAGCTTTCAGCGCACTAAGAGGCGCACTGCTGAAGCTTGGCGAGCGCCAATCGAGAGGCGTGAACACATCGAAGTAGGCCACGCACCCTCGCTCCTAGGCTCACTTCCAGGCGGCGCAGCCTGTACCGCGAGCCACGCGCTCCTCTGTTCGCATTTCATTTTTCCCCGATAGTACAACACAAAGAAAGCATTCTGCTGGGGATGTGAGGCGTACCATCTGTGTTACACCAATGCGAGCATTCCTTCGTTGAAAAGCACACGTGTCACGGAGGTGAACTCTACAACGAACCGAAAATAGACAACGCCAGTTAGAGTACACTAATTTTCCGAAGTAATATAGCCGTGGGTGTGAGGCACATTTTCTATATTCTGAATTTTTTTTTTTTATTTGTCATTACCCTTGACATAGCTGTAGAAATTTCGCTGTTTATACGTCTTCCACACGTACGCTGTTTATTTGAAATTGTGCGCGCAAAGCCCATGATGTCACGGGTCATTCCGGAATGACCATCTCGGTCGTGAAGGCAAAGCCGATCCAACTCTCCTCCACGCCCGAAAGCCGAGAGAGAAAACAACTGGAAAGGAGGTGACTGCCAACTGAACCGCGTCTCGCGCCGTCAACATTACTCTAAAGAAATTTTTTCTTTCCTGTAAATATATTTTTTTGACACGCGTGTCCCAATCAAACTTTAAAAAAAAAATTTCTTTTCAGTTTTTTTTAACAATTTTGTCCTTTACCATATCGATACTCATTGATTAAGTAAAAAAACAGAGTGCACTTATTTTGTACAGCTAATAGCGATGTTATTTTACCAGCATACTAGTTTCGAGGATCGCAGTGATTGGTTACATGTGTGCTATGTGGGAAAGTGAACCAGCAGGTGTTGTCTCTTACTGGAGTCGTTACGGTTGTGGGAACCCACCTGAGGACTAGGTACTCTGCCAGCTTCTGGGCGAGGAAGGTCTTCCCCGTGCCGCTGGGACCACACAGGATGATCCTCCGGTGTTCGCTCAGCAGGGACACGTAGCGCTGAACAATCGACTTGGGAATGAGCGTCTGCAGCGCCAAGGCATCCACGGCATTCTGCGCCGTCCCTGCAGAGACGACAACGCCGATTTGGTCGAGGCGGCCGGGGAGTAAAGGCGAGACCAGAAAGCAGCTTCAGAGAGAAAGAACGAGAGAGAGAGCGACAGAAGAGCAGAGAAAGTGGGAGGCATGTTCCTATTACCACGAAGAGTTGAAGTTGTACGAGTGCTCGTCAAATTTGTTTTATTGTATACAGTGGCCGGCCGATCTTTCGAAATCATCCAAATAATCAAGCGGTCCGAAAAATCGATTTCAGCCCAAAAGATCAAATTTCTGCACATATTCCGCTGCGTATGGGCTACTTTCCACTTGCTTGATGTCACTTTTCAGTTCTTGTGCAATTTCTGCTTTATACTTGTTTGTTGATCTGTTTCATCACGGTGCTGCGCTTTGTTGGCACAAACAGCGAAGCTGAAGCTGGTGCCATTTGGTGCTATTTGTAGACAATGTGTAGTCCCCCAAGCACTCTTCAATACTAAGACTATCGGCAAAAAACCTTTGCGCTCAAAGACCACCAGAACGGCAGACGGCCGCTCTTCTCGCGGTCGCACTCGAAAAACACGGACCACGAGAAGAACTGGAAGAGCCATAAGAATGGGCAGACGGCGGCCATGTTGGCTATAGCGAGACCGGAAAATCCGACTATAGCCACAACCCAGTTTGTTTATTGCGTAGGACGTGGTATCGAAGCTACAGGGCAAAATCAAAGTATTCAAAATGGCGGCGAATAAGCTCATGGCGCTATCGTGGCAGCTGTTTTGTGGCTGTAAACTGAGGAAATCACACAAATTATGTCCGAAATATTGAGCAGTAAGCTTTATGGCATCCGAAATATCAGTCAATGTTATACATTAACTCTATGCAGTAAGTGACAGTTCAGCGAAAACGTCCGAATAATCGGACATGTCCAAAACATCCGTCGGCAACTGTACAGTGCACAGCACCGATGCTCTTATGCAAAATAAGGTTAGAAAAACATTAGATATAGACCCTGCAAGTGATGTTTACCTGTTTTTTTTGTGTACAGCATGTAAACAAACGCTTTCAAGGCACTTTAGACGGCCCAAAAAAATCGGTTTCTCAAAGTACTATTGCGCTACAATTTACTACAGAGATGAAAGCAGGTGGTAAAGTTTGCTGCGGTGAAGAAACCAAAAAATAAACTCACCTTGTTAAAAAAAAACAGAAACCTGTTTTGGGCAATCTACACTGGTTTGCAAGGGCCAGCCAATTCAGGTGCTTTTGCTGAAATGTCTACTATCATAACCCGAAACGGACGGCGCTCCCTCGATGCGGCGTGCGCCATCTGTCGGCAGCACATCTCACTACGTGTGCATTGTGTGCCCAGAACAGATTTCTGTTTTGTTTGTTTTTTGTTTCGAACGAGGCAAGTTTGTTTTTTCATTTTTTTTTTCGCTGTAAACTTTCACACCCTGTTTGCACCTCCATAGCAATTACAGTGCCCCTGCGTACTGTAATTTGCTGCAAAAAGAAGTGTACTCCTGTTTGAAGTGCACTTCCACCTAGGGAGCACAAACTGAGTGTGATATATTGATGAACTCTATCTGAATAAAAAAGACAAACCCTCGAAAGTAAGACAATCAAACAATAATGCCCAGAATATCTGAGTCTATGCATGTATGAAATAATTTCAAGGTAAAAAAAGTGAGGCGGTATAATGATAAAAGTTCCCACCTCTGAGTACAATCTGTATCTTCAAGGTCTCGCCAACCAGATAACCACAAGGCAGAAGTTCGGGCAGCTCAGCCTCTGAAAAACAAGGAGAACAGGCGAATGAGGGTTGAGACCCCATTAGATGGACGTTGCTCGAGAGAGCCAATCCTCAAATCCCTTCTGATCCCTAAAAATGCCTCCTTCATTAAATTTTTTCAATAAAACATTTCAGACGGTAACAATACACAGTTTGAGGAGAAGAGCGAGAATTAAAAGGAAACTGAAGTGGTTCTGTATTTGAGGGAAAAAACTTAAATCGCCTTTATTTGGCCTGCAAGACAATGTATATCAAAATTATATTACAGATTGATGCGCCAAGTAGCCACAACAGCGCTTTCAATCAAGTGCCCATCCTTCCCGGCACATTCAATGGGAGGAGAGAACCACAACATATACGGAGATCTCAACCTTTCCGTGCCTTCCGCAAGCATTACCCGAGCATTCAAAAACGCTGCATGCGTTCCATCAAAAGCGGCAAGCACAAGGTAGTCGAAACCTCTGGGTATGATGTCGCATCCAGTGGTTGGTTTTTCAGTCTTTTCTCGCATTTATCAATGCCTTTGGGTCAAATGCTCGTGATATTCAAATGCACAGGACAAAAGTGCGCTAGAATTCACCTCTAACTCGTTTTATTTCAAGAACCTCTTCGGCAATTCCCTTTAATACAGTCAAATCTCGTTAATTCAAACTCTCTTAATTCAAACTTATGGATAATTCAAACTAACATGCAGGTCCCAGCCTATGCATCTCTATGGGAGGAAACTTTTGATAATTTAAACTTTGCTTTATTCAAACAAATTTTCGGTCCCCCTCGAGTTTGAATTAACGAGATTCGACTGTACATAGATCAGCTGTGCTTATACTGTGTTTGAGCTGTGAGGTGCACTTTCCTTAAGGGCTCATAGAGACAATTGAAGGAATTTGGGCGCTTGAGAAACATCAAGGGGTACATTAAAGAATGAGAATAAAATCAGAAGATATCAAGTTTTTGTGCCAATGAAATAAAAACAAGCTTTCAAGAGATTCATTAGTGAAGTTAATACCACTATATCATGAGATTTGCCTGTGGCTTTCTTTGAAGGTAGACAGTAGTATTTCAATTTTTTCATTTAAGTAGTTCTCGCCACACTAACCAGATGGCGCCACCGTTACACCATTGTCCGTGTTATCAGGGTTGCGTCCCCGTGGCGCTCAACCCCCACGTTGTTGACCGTTAAATAAATGAGTTGCGACCCAGCCACCGTCGTCGTCGGACGTCCGTCTCTCTCCGTCCGGGGCTCCCGCGCCCGGCCCCGCCGGCGCCCGCCGTTCACCTCTTCGGCATGTAAGACCCCTCGTTTTACGCAGGCCCACGCAGGCCCTGCTCTTCTTTATTTTTACGGGTGTCCGAGTTTTTCATTAATACAACATTTTTGGCGACGAGGAATTCACAACACTAGTCATTCTTGTTGTTTTGTTGCCTTCTTAATTAAAACGAAGTGTTAAATTGTATTATTTCCTAAGTAATCTCTCTGGCGACCCTTGACACAGCCTATCAGAAAAAGATGCGCTATTGGGCTAATAGGCTTGCTGAAATAATTAGCACGAAAGCTTGTAAACAGTTAAAAAATGCAGACAGCAAAAACATACACACAGGACAAAGCTGTACTAGCAACTGTAGAATTTAATAGAAAGAAACAACAGAAAGAAAACATACATAGTACATAATCTAGATCTTTCTACCTTGCGCAACATGACACATTTTTTCCCGCAGGAACGATAGCTCATTTCCTGACAACGCAAATGATGGTTCGGTAAAACACAATCGTCCATGCCAGGAAATGTGAACCGCTTCTATAACCTCCATTGTCACCCTGTCCCCGTGTGTGCCCCCAGAATGGCAACCTCACTAAAATCAGGCCTACACTTACAATCTCTGAAATGCAACGGAAGATGGCCTCCAACCGTGGCTTCGAGCGAATGGGAATGCTTTCTTAATCTATCATTTATACGTCTTCTTGTCTGGCCCACATAACATTTGTTACACAACGAGGGTTACGCAAGCCACAGACGGTTTATTTTGCGTCGCACTTCGCCTTTGAACGCCCTTCAGTACCCCCACCAACACCAGAGCATATCTGTCCGATTTTCTAGGGCGCAGAAAACACTACAGGTGTTCTCCATACCTACCCCCTACTTTATTTGGGTTGTGGGACAGACCGGTGGAGGTAGGGGACCTCCACCATGCACTTTCTTTCGCTTTGCACCTTCAACCTCTCTACACCCTTAGCTTTTTTCAGAAGGGCAGTGGCGGCTACTTACACCAAGAGTGCCAACGGAAACCCTGACTTCCTTAGTTTACCTTTCGAAAACTTTTGCTCGCTTTGTCGGCTTACAATCTTTTGAGGGGCGACCCAAGGCACGATACTCGTGGCAACTCGTACATAGAAAGAAGGTAAGGCGCTTGCCAACAAAATATGCACTAAGAAAATGCCCACCTTTGGAACGCACGACGTCATCAATATGGTAGCACAGGATGCTCTCGGAGTTCAGGCCCAGGTTGGACAAAGGGTCCACTTTTAGCACATGGTCCTGGATATAAATGAAATTCCGCATGTTAGATTGTTTACTGGCTGGTCTTCATTTGCTAATGTGACTCATACCTAATATGTCTACTTGAGTTTAAGCTGCCTTCATGTTGCAGATCATCTCCTTAAAGGGACACTAAATTAAGATATTTATAGGAAGAGATACCCCGGAAATATCTGGCGCAGGCAAAACTATTGCACGCCGATACATCATGCGTGTCTCTGTACTTTTTTCCATCGCCTATTATTTTTTAATCAAAAGTTCGTCGCCTGTATTGGCAGAACTCTACCAGCATTGTCTGCAATGCTGGTAGAGTTCTACCGTGTTACAATTTTACCGTGTTACAACGGTAAAATTGACTCCTTAAAAACCATTTCAGTACTGCTCACAATCAATTAGGAACTGTATTGCAGTCTAAACAAAAAAAACAGATATGTGATTGAAGCTGGTAGGAAAAGCCCGAAGAAAAGAAAAAACTGCCTCGGTGTTTTTCTTTAGGGGCGACTATTTACAGAAGCTTTTCCTAACCGGGCAACCTCTGCCAAAATGTTTACATTTAACTGTAGTCACTCGGTGGTTCCCATTCTGTAGATTCGTTGTTTGGAGGTTTCTCTCACCTTAAAGGCCCTCCTGACGGCACTGTCGAGGTGGTCCCATTTGGTCTTGCCGCTGACGTAAATGGAACCGATCAGGACCTCACTGGGCGTCTGCAGAAAAAAACAATAAAGATGTTATCGCATCAACGGGCTTTTTTCAGTCCTCCAAAAACAGCAAACAAATGCTGAAAAACAAAAGATTTTTCTAAAAAGTAGCGATTCTCACTTTCTTGGCTACCTGACATAATGCTTAAGCGTTTCCCGAATTTTTAGATGAATTTTTCTTTTTGTCACTTAATAGAGCTTTCAAAAACTAGACCCACCAAGACAAACTGAAGTCTGATCAGAATCTGGGAGAGAGAGAGAAGGTTGTGACATTTCAGTCCTACTGGCAAAGGTGACTTTAAGAAAAAGAAGCTAAGCTATGCAGATGGCATTACCGGTATTATGACAGGTTTGTTTGTCGCTAAATTTATATATCGGGCGGGGGAATTTTCGTTTGGATAACAACTTGCTTAGATCTTTCTGGAATATCTCTGCTATGCATTCAAACCATAAAATTCAACTTTCACGTCAAGGGTCTCGTTAAACATTATTACCAAATCACTATAACTGCCAGTCTATCAAAACATTACTGACTACATGCCTAGAAGCACATACTAGAAACATTCTGGAAGGTTAGCAATTCATCGCTTCTTTTTAATTCAGTTTAGTTATTCAGGCCACAGACTTTTGGATTTTGTGACTACAGCACCTCTAGCTGTAGTCACAAATTCAAGACAATTGCAAACTGCATAAATTACCTGCGCCTCTAAAAGCTGCTAAAAAAAAACACACACACACACACACACGCACACGAACAAAAATCACAGCTGTTTAGTGTAGACAGGGCTGGCACATCTCTCTCAGAAATCACATTCCTGATGTACAGCATGCATATAGTTTACACAATCAAGAAGCCACATATGGCGAGACTGGTCGAGAGATTACCCGGATAATCTATAGATCTCTCGGACTTCCTCGAAGGTTGCCTAAAACAGCTGCGGTTTGGAATGTCGTTCCACAAAGATTAGCATAAAGATCACGAAGCTTAAAGAGATAAAATTGGCAGGGATCCAATGAGATGTCGAACCTCCGATTTCGAAAGAAACTTCTCCAGGTCGCCGTGGCAACCGAGCTGAATGGCGATGGTGACGCGTTTTCCTTCGGGAATCTCAGCTGCGGTGACATCGGGAACATCTGAGTGCAGAAGGAAACAGAAACGTCGGAGGTTTTTAAGACATGTACACCATTAAAGGAACACTTAATTAACACCCCCCAAAATATTTTTTCCTAAGTGCATGAATAAGACACATATATATGCCACAAAATAGACTTTCCTTAAAAAAAGAAAGCGCAACATTCTAGGTGCAATATTTATATCTCAAAATAGAAGCAGGTTATATAACCGGTCCCAGCACAGAATTAGTCTCACAACGTAAAGAATGTGCTAAACTTTTTTCATTTTCCGGGAAAAGTTCATTTTGTGATGTTTGTCTGAATTTAAGTTAGAAAAACAAATTTTTAGGGAAAGTGTTTTATTAAAATCAGGTTTAGGAGCCAGCAAGGGAATATTTATGTAAAAAGAATGATAAGTAGGTAGTATAGATTAGCATATCGTATTTGTGTTCACACCACAGTTGAGTTAAAAATCTCAATGCTCTCGACTGCCAAATTTATAACGTTTTGAGAACGCAAATTTGCACGCGATGCAATGGGCATGCTTTGCGACATTTTTTTGATGAGGCAGATTAAAAAAAGAAAATGAGTTATATCTATATAATTTATGTAGAAAAAAGTTAATGAAAGTGAATTTAGGCCTTCATAATAGTTTGTGCTCGTGACATAGAAAGAACCCATAAAAATAAAAAGCCTGCTGATTTTTGTCTTTTTTAGAAATTATTACTATGCACATCTCTACCACAAAGTGTCCTCAAATTGCTTGGGATTTCTGACAACTAAGATAAGTATATCTAATTAAACCTTTTTTAAGATTCTGGGGATGTCCACTGTAATAAACTTAAGGGCCAGTTGCACCAACGCCGCTTACCTTAACCCAAAGCGGCGCTTTCCTAAGCCGGCTTAGCGCCCTAAACCGAGCTTAGGTAAGCACGGGTTTAAATTCCGGTTGCACCAACGTTAAGCCGGCTTTACAGACGCGCCCCTAGCTAAACGCTGGATTTGCGTAGGGAATCTAGGGACAAACAGAGCAAACTAGGGAACGCTCAGAGCGACGAATACGATTGGCGGAGAGGAATCACGTGATGTAAAAAAAAAAAAAAAAAGAAAAACTGCCGTAGTAGTCGTCGTCGGCGTCTGCTTTTCGCTGTATTTCTTCGGTGAGTAACAAATTAAAGGCCTCCAAATTCAATCATTTTTTCGTTTAACTTTCAATAACAGAAGTCAAAGCTTCAAATAAACACGAATGCTCTTCACATCTGTGATTGTGTGCTTAATATCGGTTGATAACAGGATATTTTGACAGTGGTAGTAGTTTTCGTGCTCACATTTTGAGGCGAAGGAGCCATCGGGGGCCCCAAATCTCACCGAACGCGAGAAGGACACTCTACTCGCTACATCGCTGAAGACAAAACATCATGGATATAAGTAGGCAGGTAAGATGACTACTAAAACTAAGTCAAGCCTGAGACCGATGAAGTTCAAAACAGTGACGAACTCGCCACGGCAGCTGCGAAAATGCCCGGAAATCTTCGAATAGAAGTCGTCGAGAGGCCAGGTCAAGAGTCCTTGCATCGACGGTACTCGTTGCTATCAGCAAGGTGACAGAACTGCACTGTACCGTCGTTGAACATCCGCTGCAGCCTCAAACGGACTTCAGTTTCACACTATCGAGTTCAGAAAAAAAAAAAAAAAAAAATCTCCCACTAGTACATCACATCGTGCCGATAAGAACGGTCGTCTCTTCGCATCACCTGCCCCTACCTGCCTCGATACAGCCATGAACGAATCTAACATAGTTGTCGTTACGATTTGTCGTCACCACGAATGAAAGATATAAGCAAAATATTCCTAAAAAATCGCGATCACCAAAAAAGTTACGGAGGACACAACAAGGCGCAACTTTCAAGTGAATTTTATTGAAAACGTGTTCCGGTATATAGTCTCAACCATCGTCACAATGACAACAAACGACAAAAGTAAAGGGAAAACACCATCACAGAGCACAACTCGGAAACAACAGTATCTCGTTCTCGGGAAACGAATGAAAAATATAAAGCAAAGTATATAAAAAAAAATGTGATCACCAAAAAAGTTACAGTTATGGAACGATACAGTTTTCTGAAGCCAAGATTCTACTAGCCAGATAAGGAAAATTCACTGAAGATTGTCTCAAAACTGAGAAAAGGAAAGAAATTGAATTTTTGCTGTTTTATTACTTAAAAGCGCCGCAATCTAATGCAAACGGCAGAGGTGTCGACAATCAGCTGATCGCCGAGATCATGTACTGCCACTATTCAACGCGCTGATCAGATTGAAGGATACGCGCTGCAAGTGTAAATAAACAAGGTGGTAAATAACAATACGTTACAGCTATGCGAAAATTAGTAAGTACATACGAATAAGCTCGTTGACAGAAGAACCAGCGGGAATACAGACGTGAGCCCCACAGCTCCGTACGTTTCTCGGTTAGGGCTAACACGCCCTGAAAGTGGAGAGCCAACTTGAAAACAGGGGTCGATAAACACTTCACACGACAATATTTTGCATCCTTGTCACAATCGAAAGTCATTTTGTCTAAACTTTCACGCTGATGTAGCCCAAAACACTTTGCACAACCAATTTCGTCCACCGCGTCGACCGTGACAAACCAGCCGCCATGTTTTTAATCCAGGATTAAGAAACAACCAGAAGCAAAGCGCCCAATGTTGAGCGCTTAAGTTAAGCGTAGTTTAGTGCTAGGTTTAGCGATAAGCGAGTTTGGTGCAACCGAACGAAACCGTAACTAAGCTTAAGTTCCCGGCTAAGCTCCGCTTTGCGCTAAGCGACGTTGGTGCAACCGGCCCTAAGAGATTTATTTCGTCATGCCGTGCGAACTCACCGAAAGTTGGAGAGAGCTCCGCTGCGCTAAGCCTGTTCTCAAGCGTGTCCATGCTGTTCCGGTGCGGCAGTGACGTCTGAGAGGAATTCAGCGATTTGCTGCTCACCAGCCGCTGAAGACGGTCGTTGTCTTGCTTGAGGTTGAGCATTTCGTTCTGCATGAATATTGTGAATGGTATAGAAGTAAATTGAATACTGTCTTTGGAGTGCTTGCTTGAAGATGAGTTAAAATGTAGCTAAGGCTATCCAACTAGTGTATACGATGACATTTATAAGGGTAATATGACAGAACTCTTTGCAGTGATTAAAACAAGGAAACATGCAATCACCAAAAAATAAGGTTTAGCTGCAATACAAGAGGCATAAGACCTGGTACAAACCTGGAAATATTTTATACCTTAATTTCTTTCCATTTTGCTTTCTCAAAAAAATAATCATATGCAAGTCAGCCCTGAGAATACCACTTCGTTACGTAGATTAAGTAATAGTAGTTTAGTTACAAGACAAAACAAACTGCACCAAGATTACTTTTTTTTCCAGACTGAAAGCACGACCTATCTACAGAATGTCTATCATATAATGTCAGTGCATATCAATGTTAAGCGACTAAGCTCGATTAGTGCCTGAACAAAGACAACATAACAAGTATTTTCTATGAGACCCGCAACATCGCAACACAATTTTGTCCTTATGTAGGCGTGTTGCACAGTGTCGTCTCAAGGTCAATGTAGAGCAACACCGCGTCCCATTGCTGCCCCAATGTTGATGTTTCGCAACACAATGTTGCCCCTACATTTGATGTACAGCGATACTGACAATGCAATGCTGCCCCAGTGTCGGCGGCGTACGGCGACACTACAGCACGAAACGTCGCCCCAAACGATTAAGGTGCAGCGACACCGCAAACACAATGTAGCCCCAGCGACGACGAACGTCAACATTGCATGTGGCACGTCTAAACCGACGGTGCCACCTTTTCAAAGGAAGGACAGAGCACCGCGATTGGATCTACGGCCTGTCTGCCGTGCACGTCCGTACCCTCATCCTGGCCAGGGTCTCCTTGAGGTTGTCCAGCTGGTGCGCCGAAGAGAGTGCCTCCAGTCGGATGTCCGTGAGGACAAGGTCCTTCTCCCGCAGCTGCTTCCTGAGCTCCTGCACCACCTCGGGGCCACCCTCTTCCTCACGCTCGTGCAGCCTGCAGGAAACAGGACCGACGGGTCAACGCGCGAGTCAATACTGAGAAGTCAACGAGCAACTTGGATTGAACGGGAACATCCAGGACAAACGTACGCAGCTTGCACTTTTGCTTGTTTCCTCCTCTAACACAGCCCTTCTTTCGTCGGAGCTAAGAGCGTGCAGAGCTAGGCTTGTCCTTTCGCTGCCATTCCTATTTACAGCTTTTTGTAGTCCCTTTTGGTTTACTAGCAACGTGTTTCCTTCTACCCGAGGCGCTATGTCTTAAAGTTCTGGCAAAATATTGGGGGTCATTAATTTTTATAAAATTTTTACCATGTGCTAAATATAAAGTCATGAGTATAGTCGACTCTCATTAATTCAAACTCTCTGAATTCAGACTTGTGGATAATTCAAACTAACATGCAGGTCCCATCCTATGCATCTCTATGGCAGGAAACTGCAGATAATTCACACTTTGCTTTATTTAAACAAATTTATGGCCCCCCTGGAGTTCGAATTAACGAGATCCGACTGTATGTCCATGAAATATTTAATCAAAATATTTATTTTCTTTCGAGAAAATGAGGTTTGGAGTTTATGCGTTCACCTCCGAATCGTTTTCTGCCGCTCTACTGGCAACAACGAGCAGGTGCACTCGTACGACATCGGTTGTTGTATCCGAGAGCAGACGACGTTCCCCACTCCACGGCATTGTGCGTTCTGGTGATAGTGAGCACCTGTGGTTCTGAGAATTGCGTCTGGCTTAGGCCATTTGCAACATGCGATGGAGGGGGAGAATGGTTGATTGGCTGTGGGGTGCAATGCACCACAAAGAAATGCAGCACACTGGCATTTTGTTGGTTTCCAACAGAGGAGAAGTCTCTGCGACGGAAGCATCGTGCTAGAAAACAGTTCACACTTTGCTATCAAATAAAACCTTCTCTGCCATTCTGTTTTAGAGTGGCATCTGGGTCCAGATGTGGCGGATCGTGAATTGCGAACGACGAATCGTTTGAAATCTCACAAACATTTGCTGGTCACTGCTCCACTAAAACAAGCTCGATGATTTGTAGTCAATCATTTCTCACGGACGATAGCGACGGTCTTCCCACTGCTTCCGGCGCTGGGCAAAACGGGCTCAAGCTGCCCACATGCGGATGTTTATACAACATCTGACGTGGCAACAAGATGGCGGACGAGGAAACTTGCAGGTTAGTTTCGGTTTCGACTATATCACCCTTCTACAATTAAAGATTATTTTAAAAATTTATGGAAAATTTATTTGCTGCTTTAGGCTCAGTTTTTAGTGCTGTTTCAGAAAGCATATTTAATTAAAAACGTTCAAATGGTTGCCGGAGATCCTCTTTAAAGGCTGACGTTTCTGTCGGGCGGAAAAGCAATTCCCTGTTTCCCTCTCGCGCTCTTCTTTGCTCCTCTTGAGGGATTTTTGTTCTTTGTTTATCGTATTTTACGCTGAACCTTTAAAGGACAGAAAACGTGACTAATTTTAATAAAAAGTAAAGAGTAACGAGTAACGTAATTTGATACACAATACCGTAAACTAGTAACGAAACTGGTTTACTCAGTAGTCATTATGGGCTCTAACCAGTACGTTAGTGTGTGACCAAAAAACCCAAGGCGTAACAAGTAACTGCGTTGCTTGTAACGCATTACTTCCAACACAGGGAAAAAAACAAACCCCGCAAAAAGCACGCCCGAATTTGACACCCCGCAACGCGGAACCACGCGCTCAAATTCTTCTCTCGAGCGCTAACTCACGCGAAGCTGGAGTGCGAGAGCTTGAGCATGTTGTGGTCAGCCAGATTGGAGTGGAGTCCGTTGGCGTGGGCCGGGTTCAGGCTGAGCAGGGGGGAGTTTGGCGCCGAGGAGTCGGACTGGAAGGCCCGGATGTCCTCCACGTCCGACACCGAGCCGTGCCGGTTCTTCTTGCTCCGCGAGAAGGCCTTGCTGAACGAGCTCCTCAGCTGTGGTTGGGGAAACACGTCGAGAATGTGAATGTAGTAGCCGTCACAGAGAGTCTCCAACATTCCAAAGTTTTAGCGTGGTGTTACAGTCACGTCTCATGAATTCAGACACCTACATCCGTCCTCAAAACAACATTCATAGTGCGAGTTATCAATAATAGTAAGACGAAAATGCGTGTATTTACCTAGATCGTTCTAGAAAGCTTTGTCTATACAGTGAGGCAGCCTTAACAACGTTAACGAAACATGACTGTGTGGGTGAGGCTTCCAAAAGATGCATCACGTAAAACTGTAACACGGCTACTCGACTGAATTTACTTAAGTTTGTGGAAGTTCCTTTAGTCAGTTATCAGCAATTAATGGTTAAAGAAATTAACACCAATTAACTATCTTTAACTGATGAAAGTTAACAAGTTTATGTAATTAACTGTCATTAAGCAATAATTATTATTATTCACCATTAATACTGCCAACTAATAATTATAAGGTGAGAAATATATGCATCCTTCCGATGCACATTCTGTCTTCCGACTTCATGCGTAGGATTAGGATATTGTCTATTTTCTGTAAGCCTTCACACTAAATTAAATTCGAGGCTGACTGAACAGTCACTTTGGTATGAATAACTTAATTTCTACCACCTCTTGGTTTCCATTACCAAGTGAGCAGATTGTATTTGTGTCACTTTGTTTCTGATGCAATACTGAATTTCCAAGAAATTGTTTTCACAAAATCTGAAGAAAAAAAAGAATAAGAAAAATATAGTTTTTGAATGAATGTGCAAATTAATATTTAAAGCCTTAGCCTCAATCTTGAACTTGTATCATTACACTTGACATAGCACCTTCATTAGTGACAGAGAAAACAATTACTAGAAAGAAAAAAAACACAGCTTGATCTTTTGCAGAGCAGCTAACTGTTGAAAATGAATGTTTTCCATAACTGTGTCTTTAGAGGTGCACAGAAAGGAGTAACTTTCTCAGCAGAATGAATAATAAGAAGCAGACCTCAAGGGAAATGAAATCCCCAATTCGAGGCCTCACCTCCAAGGGATTTTCTATACTGGGTAATGATAATGTTTTCAAGGAAAACAAAGCCACCCTAGAAAACGCATGATACATCTCAAACACCGTGCTGGGCTCTCAAGTGAAATAATATGAGGCCTTCCTCAACCCCAAGAGGAAACAAAACGGTGTACAGCAATATTGAATCATAGCTTACATGTGACGTAACCAAAAAGTGCTGTCCTGGCTCTCTTTGCATTTGTGCAATTGCACACACACAAAGAAAGGAAAACAGAAAACAAGTGGCTTCTGGAGATTGCACAATTTATAATCCAAAAACTAGCCGCCCCCCCCCCCCCCCCCCTATTGTATTCAAAACGCAAACATTCACGACGGCGGGCGCGGCGCAATCCCAAAATCTAATTACATTTTTTTTTTTTTTTTTTAACGTTTAACTTGACCCTCGGTAACTCGGCCAAATCCAAAAAGCGCGCACAAAACCACGTACCGGCGGTGTTGCCCGTCAAGAGATGCCGAGCCGAAAAAAACACGCGGCTCGGTGGACCCCGAATACGACCCCCGCTGAAAGGACCGTAAAGACGCCGAGAATGCTGTCCACGCAGAGCTCCATGTGTGGACGGTTTTCCGGAGTGCTTACTCGGCCTTTTTACGGACGCTTTAGTGCCTTTCGCGGGCACCTTTGCGTGCGCTCGCTGCGCACGTTCTTCTATCGCTTCAAGTGCTCGCGCCATGCGTGCGTTTAAAGAAAAAGAAGAAAAAAGTAAAGCTAGTTCGACAAATAGATAAATGAATACAACAACCTTTTCAATCAGGCGGTAGCGCGCGCCGCTTATCTTGTTTCTAGTTTCGACAGCTAACATTTGTTTAATATCTAAAAACATTAAGGTTAAGACTTAAGCTTGTTGATTCTTTTACCAGTAATATATTTATAAAATTTCCACTCTTGTAATGGAAGCATTTCTTTGTAACCGAATGTGCGCACTTTCCGCTCTGCAAAGTTTGGGCGGCCTTTTGCGCCATCTACGCGACAGTGGCGGAGCGGGTGGGCACCGGTTGACAGTTTGGAGACACGTTCCAAGTCCTTTCACGCAGAAATAAATGCATCAATATGAATTTTTAAACTTTTTTTTTTGGATAGGAACAAAACGGAAAGTCCGTTTGGCGTGTCCGCGAGATGTGCATTAATAAACAGGCGAGCTTGATTAACGTCACACGTGATTCTAACTGGAGACGACAGACGACAAGGGGCAAACAAACACACACGTAAGTAAATACAAGTTGCTTACCCAGCCCTTCTTTTTCTTGTGCTTCTTGCCGTTTTCTTCGTTCTTGGTGGAGGCATTGCTACACGCGCTGGACGCAGAGTTGACGCTGGACATGGAGTCCGTCGACAGTTGTCTGGACATCCGGTGATCTTGCAACGCTGTTTTGGGAGCAGAATCAGTTACCGAGTCGATTGTAGACCCCTACAAGTTCACAACCGTCTCTTCTGCTTACCAGTTAACCTTTCCACATCTAGTCTTCATCCTCAAGCCAGGATTACCCTCTACATATATTCAAGTTAATGAAACATGGACCGCATGATTTGTCTCAATTGTAGTGAATTTCACGAGGAAACATGGCGTTTGCCTCCTAATAAATGAAGCGCGTTATCGCCTGGAAAATATCTTAGTATTATTCTTAGAAAACAAATAACACAGGCAGACTGTCTCATTAAACTGAGTGGTCATTATTTCTTAAGAATGTTCAGCATTTTAAAGGAAATTGCTGTACTTTTAGCATTTTCGTATCAGAACTGTGCTTCGGAACGGCCGTCATTTTACATTTTAAAGTCTCCGACCTGAGAAGTTAAACAGGAACAGATTTGGTACCATTAGTCTAGTTATTGGACTCATAAAATGCCGTTAATAAGAAAGACAAAAAATCTCTGGTGCATAAGCATATAGTGCAAGGTTAGCAAGGATCGAATTGTGAACAAGCGGGGGAAATTCACGGAACACCAAAACTAAACCAACTGGCCAGAACACAAGGGTGGGACAAAACACAAAGGCGGGACATTCGGAAATCTTCGGTTTGATCGGAGTTGTGCACACCGCACGCGTGTCTTCTAAAAAATTCGCGCTTTCGCAAAAATATTTATTATCATTACTTGAGTTTGATAAATTTGGAAAGTAAGTGAAGCGCCCATCACCGCACACGTGTTCCTCCGATGACGTCCCGAGTTTCAGATTGACCAGGAACTTCAGCGAGAGTTCCAGACTAAACGAATCTCTGCAACCTAATGCCTATGATCAAAGTTCAGTAGCAGATACTCTAGGTCACGGTGGAAGAAGAAAGGTGTCGAAACAAGGTCAGAAAGGGGGTCGAAATTCCACTCGGGCTTCGGTAATTTCCCGGCGGGGGGCGCGCTGTCGGGGTGAACTGATGGTATACAGTTAAGGCCCGTTCACACTCTTGCGACTGCTTGCGACCTCTTAAACCTGGGTTCCTTAAAACTTCTTAAACCAGAGAACACACTAGCGCCATCTATTGGGAAGCAGTGTAAACTCGGCGGTCCGGCATATTTTTTTTTTTTTATTTCTCGCGCAATATCCTTTCTTTTTTGGCTCGAAAAACTTTTGTCAATGTTATAAACGAGCCTTCCTATGGGTATTACGCACATTTGACCTCGGAAATCGCGCAAAACCTTCGCTTTTGTGAAATGCAGTTCTAGGGTCACCGCATAGATGGCGCCACAATGTCAGTGTGTTCCCTCATTCTAGAAACATTTAAGAAGTTGTAAGAGAACTCGTCTCTCTTAGTCGTACTCGGTCGTAAGAGTGTGAACGGGCCTTTACTCTATGACTAATTATAGTAACTGTATAGGCTCTGCTTGTAGAGTCAGAGTATTGCATATATTTTCCCTTCTCCGCCAATTCCATATTGGCGGAGAAGCGATAACGTGCGTCGAGTTGGATCAACTCTCATGCAGGAAAGCGACCTTACAGGCGCCGAGTTTCGGGCGGAGCATATTTCTCGCGTTGCGTTTGCGAAATATAACACTAAAATCGCACGAACTGCGAGGTTCCTTAACCATTGGACAATATGTGCAGCCACTGGGTGCAATACAGTATAATCCGAGTTGTTTTATAACGCAAGCGATGCCTTAAAACGTGTTTCCAAAGTCTGGGTAGCAGACGACGAGGACGATCGCTCTGCTAGCGGAGTGATACGCGACCGGCACATCCGGGCACTTCGGACCGGACAACGAGCAGCTGCGGCTTGCGAAGGGACGACGTTTTCGTCGTCGGCCACTGCGTTCGATCGAGGGCATGGAGGTCAACCGGAGACAAATGACTGGACAACTGCGGACGCGCGGAACGTCGCCGCACTATATTTTTTTTTCTGCTCCGCACGCAGCAGCACGCCACCTCACGGCCACGCCAACCCCGTCTCCGTTACTCCTGCAAAAGCGACCGCCGCTTCCCGCAGTGCAGCTTGGATTCATCATTGCCGCCCTGTGAATACCATTGCGATACTCTGCTCTGCAAGCTTAGGATATACAGTTACTCTGGGACTAGTCGGATATTAGTTAATTGTTGGATTTAGACGTTTTGGCTAGGTGGCGCAAGACGCCGCTAGATTAAAAAGGTTCAGCCGAATCCATCCATCCATCCATCCATCCATCCATCCATCCGCGCGCGCCTCGCAGCCTTGAAAACGTGTGCGCGAATAAGGGCGGTTCCCCGAGCTCCTGTCATGTTGCGCCATCTCACGGCGTTTATCAGAAATAAGAGCGAAACTTCGACACACTTCATCCATGGCGAGGCGGCGCCGTTCTGACACCTCTCTTTTCTTCAACCGTGCTCCCAGCGTTCCAAAACGAAGATTTCCGATGGGCAGAAAGCACGTTAAAACAAGGGGGGGGAAAGGCTTAGCAGCGTCAGGCAGCGGTGCTCTACCCAAGCGTTAGTAAGGCGTCGCGTGCTCACCGGCGGTGTCCTTAGGAGTGTTAAAGGTATGGCGGCGCACAAGGTTAGAGCAGCCTGAGGGCGGATGACCCCCTCCACCACCGTTACTGGAGCCCATACTTCGATGCACGGCCGCCATAGACTGGAGCGCCATCTTGGTGAGCCCAGCTTCGGCGCTCTGCTGCTTGAGGGCTTCGATGGTGCTCCGCAGCTCCGTCAGTTCCGAGTCCTGGGAGGGAAGGAAAGATCACAATAAATCTTTATTGCTTTATCTTATCTTTTTTTTTTTTTCTTTTCTGGGTGATGGTTATCACTCACTTGTCTTAAGGCCAGCTCTAAAAAAAAAAAAAAAAGGGGGAACCTAGCGCTCAAAAGTAGCGTTAAAAAGCAAACAAAAACATGATCTGGGAATGAGTGTTGCGGCAGTTTCTGAACTCATGTGATACTACTTCGCCAACCATAAAGCGAACAATTAAAGAAATGTGTTGAAAACGATGTGGGCGCGTTTGGGGAAGGGGGGGGGGGGGGAGCAAGCAGATGACGTAACAAACAACAAAATACATCTTTCCTGAAGGCACAGGCAACTACAATTTAATTAATGCGCGGGAAGTCCGGCGCGAACGCAAAATTACACACACGCCGACGAAACAGAAACGCAAGTTATACCGTCCCACCGGAACGTTCTGAAAGAGGCACTAAAATGGAGCCTACCTTCTGTTCCGCCGTTGCCGTGAGGTGCTGCAACCGGGAGGTCATGTTGGACAGAGACTGCTCGAACGCCGCCACCATGTGAGCCTGCGCACACAGAAAATAACGCGTCGTGAGCCCATCCGTCACACGAACCAACAAAGCGCCCGCTAAAAGAAACGCGCCGGCAGGTGACGGACTAGCACATTTTCGAGGGGAATGGAAGCTGTTCACCCCTGAGCTGACAGTGCAGGGGAAACTAAAAAGTACTTTTTTTTTTATAAGGTCCCTTACATAAGACGATTCATACATCTGTATTTTGCCACGTGATCACGCACATGCGATGAAAGGGAGGCCCTTGCACGATTGATCCGGCGAGCACGTAGCTATTCCAGCTTCGGGGCGACCGGAGAACTTCTAAACACAACCCGCGCGCAAGTTCACCGCACCACCGGGAGTGTTTCGTGCCCCGAGTCATCACCGTGCCCGCATTGTGCCATGCCTGTTTCCGGCATCACGCTCTTATCTCGTTTCTCTTTCTCGTTCATTTTAGCTGCTCCTTGCGACGCCGGGAACCCATTAATCAAAGAGAGAGAGAAACCGGCAAAAGGCCGGCATGAGCGCACGCCACATACTCTCGACACCGCGCAACTTTTCAAAGCCGCACACGCAGCTCGGACATCGTACAAAAATATTACGTGGTGTCCGTTGCAGGTACGATGGCCTTATTATTTGCGGACATATGTTTCCTTCGTACGTATCAGTGCTTCGAATATACGTGTAGACAGTTCTGGTAAGGCCAGCAGGGACGCATCAGACTGTAGTGTCCGCGCTGACTGCCCCCCAGCGGCCTAGAAGTTGGGCTGCTTCCGCCTTCCGTGATGCCTTCCGTGACGTCAGAAAGATTGAGTTCGTCTTATCGACAGACAAACTAAACTCTCTGACGTCACACAACTAAGGTGGCGCTGCTGTCGGTACTGCGCATGCGCAAACGCTTCCCTCCTCCCGGATTTGGTTTCTGCGCAAGCGCAATGTCCACACATGTGACCTTTACCTTCCAAGTCCTATAACGCACGAAAGGCATTATAGGGAATTGGTGTGTCCCGTGGCGTTTACTTTCCCGCTAGATTTAGCGGGGAAAATAAGTGGTTGCGTAGGTCACGTGACGTCGAGTGTCCCCGCTACATTTAGCGGGCAACTGATTTGGTGATAGAGGTCACGCGACGTCGATTTCCCGCTATATTTAGCGGGCAAATTGAATTGATGTTTCGGCCAAAGGCGTGAATTTTCGTATAGGTCACGTGCCGTCAATTTCCCCACGATATATCGGTCACGTGACGTCAGGTGACCTCACGTGACGCCACTTTCCCGCTAAATTTAGCGGGGAACTTCAACTGGTGTCACGTAACATAAATTTACCCGCTAAATTTGACGGGAAATGCAGGGACGGGCAGACGGACGGACACACTTTCGGGATTGGGAAAAAGCATTTCATGAACCGGAAGTGTGCCACCCGGCCGATCGATGGCGCCACTGTGCGTGTTGCCAAACAAATCTCAAGGGGGAATATTACGCGAAGAAATTGCTTCGGTGTTCGACAGGAGAAAGAAACTCAAACATCGCGCAGTAGACGAATCTTATTCGACGATGGCGCTGTTCGACGAAGGACGCATCAATGCGTTGGACCAATATAAGGCACCAGTCTTCGACTGCGTCGGATGACAAGAGACAATTTGTCGTTGTTTCCTGGTCTCTGCTCATTTCAGGGATTCAGAACGTCTTGGCACAAAGTCTACGATTTGTTTTGGTTTCTTCTTCCGGAGTATACTGTGTAAACATTCCCTAACACTCCGAGATGATTATTTACGCGAAATATACCAATTGCACGGGCGTTTTCGGCGAAAATTCGCGCAATGTAGAAATGCAAAAAGGTGTCCGAACACATTTTTTCTTTTGCAGATACATTTCATTTCAGTTTTATTCGTGTACATCAAGGACATCAGTGATGGATTCCAAACGAAGGTATCGGCAAAATGAAATACAAATGTAGAACCCCAAAACAAAAACAAAAAGTACTGCAGGAAACGCGAGAGTACGAGGCAAATGTTCCGAGCAATTCACACAAAAACTTAAGGGCCGAACGAGTCATCGCCGTTGAAAATCAGTAAAACCTGGTCACTGCACTCAGGCCCATTGAACAAAATATTTCTGGGAATTTTCGTTGGAATATTCATGAATCGGAAATTACCATGGCAAAGTCACTTCAGTTGTAAGCATTCAAGAAAAAAAAAAAAAAAAGGAAAAAGTCATTTAGTACGAGAGAGCCGCCAGGAAAGAGTATTTCGGTGTATCACCGAAATCCTTTTCCTACTCAGGAATACTCAGGAGTATCACGTACACGAAATACACGCGTTGAATCATGCTACGCAACAAGCATATCACCTCAGACTACTGTTTCCTTCACGTTATTTCCAGCTGCCTATGTCTCACTCAGTTATCCACAGCGTGTGATCTGTGCTGTTTCGGGGTGGCACCCAGTTGGTAGAACGACGTTTTAGCGAACGGCGAATTTTCATCGAAAGACGCTTCAGCGAATAGCCGGCCACCGCGAAGCGGCGTTTACGGGTGGGCCAAGTGGGTTAACATTTTTGTAATAAGCCGCCGCAGACTGCCGCCACAAAAGCGGCGTAAGCGCAGCGCGGGGGGAGTTAACACATGCGCCCCAGTTATTCGCTAAAACGTAGATTCGCTCAAAATGGCGCTGTTCGCTGAAACGTCATTCGCTCATGTGATATGGACCCGGATGTGGGCACTGGGCGTTCGCAGCAAACTGTATTTGCACGAAAAGAACCGTCTGCGCATGCGTCAAGACGAGAGCAGCGATCAATGTATACACTGATCAAGCAACACTGCTGCGTGCGGAGGCACGTGTTTAAGTTCAACGCGGGCGATGCAGCGTCCGGCGTATAAAACAACGCGCGCTCCTCGTAATCAAGACAACGCTTAACCAAAGAAACAAGAAATAAAGAAGAAAAAAAAAAAAAAAAACAGAAGTGCAAAAGAGAGCGTCAACAAGCAAGCGGGCGTGTTTTACGGGTCCGTTGCACCACGGAGAGCGGTCAGGAAACGATGCTTCGGATAACGGAGTGGCTTTCCCCACCGCCGAACAAAATCCACCAAAAGGATAACAACCAGAGAAACCAATAAAGCTTTCTCAGACAAGTGAAAGGTGAACGACTCGAAATAGGTGCACAGAGTTGTTTCTCGCCAAAAACAAACACATACAGTCGCGGACAAACCAAGCTGGAACGCGCGTTTGTCTCGGAGCGCTTCGCTCGTTGGCGTCGCGTCGTGGCGAGAGATGAAAGCCTGCAGGTTCGTCCGGGGTATGTCTCACGACACTGCTCGGCTGCGCCAGACTAAGCCGCGAAGCGCGTTCAAAAACTTTCCAGTGTTGTTCTCTCTACGTTTATTCGCGGCTTCTGTTTTCCTCCCTCTGGGTAGTGCACGCGGTTTTGTTTTCATTTTCACAGTGCATAGAAGCTGGGCGTTGCACGTGCTTGCACCAACGAAGGAAGTTGAACTACATCCTCACCCTGGGTTGTGAAAAAATTCCACTAGGCGGCGATACCCGAGTTTCTCGCCACGAATAAGGCGTCGCATCAGTGAGTTGCCATCATGGACGGAACATTCATCATAAATACAAATCAAATGGTATAAGATCATTTTTCAGATCGACAGAGAGAAAATCTCTAGGCTCTTCAGCGATACTTCCCGATTCCGGACATACAGAGAGCGACCGAATGCCAACCCAACTGACGCGATCAAAGATGGCCGCCGAGCGACCTTGAACCTCTAACCGCCGGTAGCCCGGTCGAAATTGCATCGCGAACAACAAACACCGAAAGCGTGACGGGCGACTGGTCACGGTCTCAAATGCCCCTAAGCCGCTAATACAATAGGCGGACCGGAAGTAAGAGTTATAGCCCGTGGGCGTCCACGCATTGAGCGACCCCTGACACCGGGATTGAGCAAACGCCGCCCGCCCCATACCACGTATGCAGATGAGGGTCACTCAATCCTACGGCGAGCAGCGAGGGCACGGCCAACGCGGTCACGTACGCAAATTACTTTTCGGGTTGACGCTGCTCCGCTGTTCTCCGTCTTGAGCCACGCGCGGCTAGATGGAAGACAAGGCCCGCACCTGACGTCATCATTGGTGGGCTCAGAGACCGCTCCGAGCGGCAACGCTGCGAGACGCGCTGACGGTGAAGCGATGACGTATGGGAGAGGGAGAGAGGCCGGCCTCGTCTCGTAGGTGGTGGTGTTGCTACGAGAGCGGGTACGCCTTGGACTGCGGGGAAACAGCCCATTTCCTGGGTGTGTTTCATTTTCGCTGGGTTAGTGTGCTGCTGGCCGTTTGTCGGTGTGTTTGTGAGTAGGTGTCTCTTGTCGTGTCCTTGTGCGGCCTTTGTGGAGCTATACGGAGCACGACACAGCACGAACGAGCAACTATCGTTCTTTCTTCTTTCTCTCTCCTAGTTTATGTTTCGCGACTGGAAGGCTGTGACCAGAACAACTGGTGCATGGCAAAATGTGGTGTTCCCGCACACCGCTGCTCGGAGCACGTAGAGAAAAAACTGCGCGGTGTGTGTTAAAGAGCTTAGGATAGCGGTCATGCTGTGCTCTCTCATCTACAGCTGAGGCACCAGACATCCGCTGGGGCTGACTAACTTACCGCTGCTTTTTAATCGCCCGCATATCAAACGACTTACACGAACCACTCTGTGCGAAACGCAGAAAGATCGTTAATACAGTGTTTACGGTGAGTCGCGTAGTGTACAATATTAATTATAAAAAAAAAAAAAAAACTATTTAGCTTACAAACGCAACTTTGCGTCGGCACAGTTTTTGTCGTTCTATTTCGAGTTGTGTAAAACACGCCATCGCAAGTGCAGAAAAAAAAAATTTTAAATGGGTTTTGCCGCTGTGATTACCATGCGTGAAGTTTATTTACCAATAAAACTTTGGTTGGACCTTTTTTTATGTAATTGGGAAATAGGATAACTCCACTTGGATATGCGAGTACGCGGCATGCAGTACAGCCG